GGAGGCCTAAACAAGCTTTGCCGTAGGCTGGAAAAAGGGGCAATAACAGGGGTGAAGGGACTACAGAGAAAGAAATCTATTAAAATTTGGTAACCTTTATAATTGAAATTTAGAACCACGTTTTAAAGGATACAATTTAATACAAATAATATTTTTTTTTTTTGGTTTATTACACAAATGTAATGCTATTTTGTATGTGTACAGCGGAAAAAGTGAAAAGCGCGCACAAAGCATTTTGACAGCTTTTAATTAAAAAACGTCGGGCAAACGTCACGTGCCAACATCAATGCGAGGGTTCGTGTGTGCTGGAACTTGGGGGATTGTTTTGGGAGGACTCTTTAGGGTCCTTGAAATGTTTGCAAGCCCAGCCGGACCAGCCAAATGTTTGTGCTTTTCATTCTGCGGAGGCTTATCCGCTGGCACTTTTCGCATTATTTTGGCCTCAAGATGGGACACGTTGTGCCAACATGAAATGCCTTCCTCTGAAAGTTATGCCATACTTTGCACCAAAGTATCTTTCTGTGTTGGCTGTTTGTTGCTCGCTGGGCGAAAGTTCAAGGCCAGCCACAATTAGCTTGACCAGGCAGCCACTCAAAGCAGCCGAAGAGAAGGGCAACGCGGAGTCCCCAATTTTCCACTTTGTTTATACTTGTTTTCCAGCAATGTTTACTCGGCTTCTGGCTATGCGCTGAATTTGAAATTATGAGAAAGGAAAGCAGACGGAACTGTTGCATACTTTTTGGGACTTAGAGGCACAACGGGGGATTATATTAAGAGATTTATTGAAAGCGCCTTGGAAAAACAATTATTGGCAGGATATGGCAAAGGTATTTTCTAGAGCTTAGTAATTTTTGTGGGTGGAACTCAAATGAGGGTGGAACGACCCTTAAAAGGTATCCCTAATGATTTATTGATTTATGGCAAGAATCTTATGAAATAATAAGTTAATTATTCTAAATACTCCTTATAGAAACGAGTAAGGGATTGATGGCTAAACAAGGGTGTTGAAAAGTATCTTCCTAAGTTAATTTAAAGTTTGTCTCACAACATCATAAATCATCCCTCCACGGACAGCCAAGATAATCCATTTGGGTGTCTGCACAGCTTGTTGACCCATTAAAGTGGATATAGCCTTGAAAGCGTTTGCTGAACCATTCCAATGGACAACAAGCCAACGAATGCAGATATCCAGCTGATGTAGACAGAATAGGAGGTACATAATGAAATAGGGGTAGCAAAAGGAGAAGGGTTGATACAATTACTGTGCGCCCTATTCTCCCGAGAACTTTTTTCAATTATATCAAGAAACCTCGTTGGCCAGCAGATGTTTTCAAGACGGTGCAGTCGTCGCATCAGCTGGCTAGTGTGTATCCTGCGACAGGATAACACCAGGAATCGAGCTATTGATTTTCTCCGCAGACAGCATTAACAGAGAAAGTTTTTCGTCTCATACACCAACTGGGCATATTTATTGTTGCTGCCGTTTTACCCGCTCCACTGACTTACGTAAAGAGTTCTAGGTGTTGTGCTTTCTCCGCGTTTTGTTGCGCTGCCTCTTGGCTGTAATTTGCCTGATATGCACCAAATAAAGAAAATCGCCGCACTATTATGCCGCGTTGCCCTGTCACGATATGCGCGTTGGTATTTCGATTGCTGAATTGCTTTGTTTATCTGCAGGCACGTGAAGCAAACAGGAACGCCTTCTTCCCCTTCCACGCACACCCTCTTTTCCGATACAAAATCCCACTGGCAAACGGACAGAGAAGCGACGACCAGAGCTGCACGAGGTTCCAAGACCAACTGACTAAAGGGGAGTCCCACACAGCGAAATGGCTCGACTCGACTCTACTCGGTCGAAATTCGCTCACTCTCTTTGGCTTTTCACTCAACGCTCTGAAGGAAGAAGCGCCTCGCAGACTCACTCGATTTTGAACTCGGCCAGGTTTGCCACTGTCCGGGGGTTATTTAATTATATAGTCCCAGAGCTAAGCAAGCAAGGCCAACAAAAACTGTTTACAATTTCTTGAAAATCGCACTAAAGTAGAATTTGGGAGCGGTGAGAGGGTGGTTTTGGGCGGGGTAATGGATTTGTGTGCAACAGCTGCTGCGCAGACCATTTCTCCTTCGTCTCCTAATAACTTGGCCTACAGGACATGGGCTGACCATTAAAGCTGAATTGAATTATTTTTCAACGTGCACTTAAGCCCTTAAAGGTGTTGAAAATTGGGCAGCACGGTGGCGCTCCACCTGTCGTATACGCAACCTGAGTGATGTGGGGGTTGACGTTGCGCATACGCCATGTGTGCCACATCATAACTGCCATGTTAAGCAAAACACACCAAGTCTGTATTTGTTTATTCATTTTATTCCGTTTTATGGTGGTCGTAAAGCGTTTCCCATTCGAGCGGATTGGGGAATTTATTGAGCAGAAATGTTAAGGATTTTCTTAATGGAAATGCTGCATACATTACAATGAATTTGCGAGTTGAAGGGTGCGTAAAATCATTTAAGTCGATTTTTGTTTATATCAATATAATATGTTGTGCATACTTTTCTTTTTAGCGGAAACAATGAGATGCTAATTTTCACATTCCCCGTGGCTAATCTTTTTTTTAGCTGTTTACCAGAAGAACTTTTGTTTAGATTTTTAAAACCAATATTTGCCCAATGCCAAGGAATGTATGAGTCCAATTAGATGAACACACTGTAAACAAGACAATGAATTTTGTAAATTTTCCCTTCAGATGAGATCACATCTGTCCAAAGGTTTTAATTAAATGTAATCAATAGGCGGCTTGACTTTAACTTGACATTGGCATTCAAATACATTTCCCCTGTTCTATCGCTTAATTTCTAAGCTTTCACATACAGCCGTGTGTACGTCTATATACACACATTCATGCCCCAAAAAATCGCCATGGCTGACTGCGGCCCAGACGGAGATAATAAGTCCAACATGACACGACACCGACATGGGCAGTAAATTCGAATTACGAATTACGAGTTACTGTGGGCGGAAAAGGCCCTCCCCCAGCGAAGAAGAGGAAGAGCGAGCGGTGGCAGTAAAACGGTGACTAAACGATTCGCTTCCATGGATTTTCGACAAGCGAGCGGCGGCTCCGCTTCGAAGGAGCTAAAAAACGTTCATTTACTCAAGTGACAAGTAAGAAATCTTCATAGAGATGGCTCGAAATTTCCATTCCACTGCATAATAATAATCATCAGTATTTTATGCCGGGAATGACATCGTTTCATATCTCATGGGGCACGCAATTGACAAGACATCGCTCATACGCAACGTTGGATCAACAGTTGGGAACACAGCATATGGCGGATTTCAGAAGCTAAGGGCCGAGCCCAGCCATTAGGAATTTTAATATCTGGCGCGTGTCAAGGGGAAGAACACTACGAAAATAAAAGGGTCAATCACATTTAGCTTAGGCAAAGGGCTCTTAGAAAACCTTAAGTTCCAAGCTGGCGTGGCATATTGAAACTCCTTATGAATCAACCCCAAGCTGGAAATGTCAATTGTGAGTGACATTCAATGCATTATTTAAAGTTTCAGTAGTTTCAAGTAGCATGTACTATATATTCCATTTGTTGAATCGATATTTTTATTTTTAGTGTGCATTTCTGTTTATTCAATGGCCCCTGCAGGATGGCCCCCTATGTCTCTCAAGCGCTCACACAGATGCTCATTTCGTTGATCTGTTTGACAAATAAATACTGATGTATCCCCACCTCGTTGACACGACACTTTGGATGAATTTTCCATTTCCATTTCACTTTGCAGGCAGGAAAATGTGACGAAGTCGTATCTGTTGTTGACCATTTCCGCTGCGAGTGTCAACACGGCCTACCAAGAAATGAGACAAGCGTGTTTTTGGGGCCAGGAACTGGCGGCTGGAGGGGTTCGAACCCGGCATGCAGGATACCACCACGCCCACAATCCACCACGCAAAAGCGGAAACGCCGCCCCTGGATTTCCGCCCCCTGGACTGAGTGCTCGTTACGTAAGCGAACGGCTCTCTCTAGTTCTTCTCTTCGGGGGAAACATGTTTTCTGCATCGCAGTGCGTTGAACTTGGCCCAATTCAACGCAGCTTTGAGTGAGATTTTCCTTTGGCCATTTGCTCGTTCAGAGTGGGGACCACTTTACTTATTCGGGGGCCCCACCTTTTTCCTGCCCAAGGCAGGCGTCAAACTAAGCGCTGGCGTTAATCTCCTCCTGCGCTTGGGAGGATTATGATGTTTGGGACTGTGGTTACGCATCGCTAGAAAAGGTACCACCAATTTTGTAAGTTTAAAGTCCAATGTTTCAATAATAAAATAAACATGCATACATGAAATTAAACTTAGGGCAAAATCAGAAACACCATTTGTGTTAAATGGTTTTTTTTTTCAACAATTAACTAAGATTCAACAAATTATTTCGTAAGCATAGTAAATCAAACAAATTAAATAAAGGAGGAATAGCAGACCATGTTAAATGGAAAACGCAGACACCATTATACAAATGTCTATGCTTCCTTATCCTGAGCCCCCACCCATTCTGCCACCTTTTGCGGCCAGTGAGGATGACTGTGGTAAGCCGAGACCCTTCGCTAATGATATTCCAAGCCGCGAATTCCCAAGAGGGAGTGTCGCTCATTAATGGGGTTTGGGGAAAATGCGGGAAATGAAACTCGAGACTCGCTTTCGCTTTGCTTTTGTTGTTTTAAAGATCATATTTACTTCAATCACAGCACAGAATACAGAGAATATTATCTAATGGTTTACTTGTCGCTCGAAAAGATACTGGAAACGAAACTGTAGGGAAAACTATTTCCATGTGAGTGTGAAGTGTGCGGATAAGAAGTAGCGTGTTGGTTGTGATGTGTTTCAATTTGTTTTTGGTGGCTGATGGCGTTTGGCATTGGCGGGGTTAAAAGTCGAGAGAAGGATTAGCTGCAGAGAAAGTCGAGCTAGTGCGGAAAAGAAGTGAAAAATTCGAAGAAGCAGTTTTCTTATGTGTAGGGTTTTATCCATATAGACTTGTATAATTGTTGACATGTATGTATAGAGGATTACTCTTTTTTTTTGTTATTTTGTGGGCTTTTTTCTCGCTAGTTTAAAGTTTAACACACAGCTAACATTTAGAGTATTGTTTATACGCCTTCACGGCAATAATGCAATTACGTTTGTATATAGGTTGATGTATACTTATTACGTTGCTAGTTACAATTGTTGACTGGTTGTTAGTTCTACAGTAAGATCAGGTTGTTGAAATGTTTGTCTCGTAGTGGTACAGTAGTTTTGAGTAGAGGTCGAGTCACGTCGAGTCGTTCATGATTGTTGCGAGTTGCAAAGAAAGGCATTAAGAGCTAACTAAGGACATTCAAACAGATAAACTTAGATTCAAATATTACAGCTAAACATAATCTCAATGGAGGTTTCATAATTAAATAACTTTGTGCAATAAAAGCATGTATAATAGTAAAATAAAATTATCCTTAATAGCAGCAGTGTTGAGCACACATATAACTCCTCCACCTTCTACTGCTCCTTCTATTAAGAATAATCTTTTGTTCCAGTTTGGATTCGATTCTTGTTAGGAAACGCGATTGTAAGAATTAAAATTCAGCCTTCGTCCCTTTGACTAAAATGTTGCACTTCCATGTTGTATTTTCAGCCTGTTCAATATAAATAATCGTGCGGAAAGACGGCGCGTGCGGGCAGATAGCAAGGATCATGTTGGTTGCGGTAGCGACGCGCCAGGAAAACAGCCAGGACCTGTGTTAGAAAAGGTAAATTAAACAGTGCTCAACAGAGGTTCAAGAATTTTAAATAAGAAATCAAACTAGCATAAAAGAATTCTCACCCTTGGTCACTTGTTGGATTTATGCTTAGTCAAAGAGTAGGCAGTCAAGTGTTAGAACAAATTTTGTCGAAAGTGTTAAAGAAAGTGTGTTGAGAGTAAAGGGAAATATGTTTCTTAGCTGATTGCTTATTTTGGGTTAAACGCTTTGCTCTCTCCTTCTATATATATCTCTCTATAATATGTATATATGTCTAAAGTTGTATATCAATTACGAACTAACACATTACGTACATAGTTCTGCGCAATGTGATTTAATATATATATATATATATATATATATCTGTAGATGGTATAAATATAAAGGATGCTTGTATATGTATGGTATGTCGGCCCCAAGGGCTCATGAAATCTTCCCTCGCAACATTAAACATTTAGCAGAGACAGAGCAGATATACATGCACTAAAGAACTTTTGAATGTTTCTGTATCTGGAAAATGTTTATCTCTTTCACGACTAGCTTCTAATTTAGAGAAAAGCGCTGGGCAAGCCCCGCGGATCCTTTTGATTGCGATAGCGGACTGTTAGCCAGACGCCGACGAACTAAGTGCAGCATGTGGGAATGGGTTTAATAGGAAATTGGATTACTTTCATCAGACATGCACTAATCTGCACTTTACCTCAGTGAAGCTGAAGAAGATGCCCAGACCGCCGCACAGCTTGAAGGCATAGTCGATCTTGTCCTCCAGTAGGGGTCCACAGGGTTCACAACGACAGTCCGGCTCGGAAGAGTGGGCACAGCACTGTTGATTGATCAGCTCGCACGAGGGCTCATTTGGCGGAGGAACCACGGAAGTTGTGCTCGGTGCGGTGGCATTGAATCCGCAGCATTTCAGGCTGTCCTGCACCTGCTTGCGCAAATCCGTGGGCACCGTCATCCATCCTTGCTCGGCGAACTGCTGCTGCTGCTCGGAGTTGACGGCCAAACAGGAACTGGCGATGGAGAACTGGATCAGGAACAGCATGAACAGTATGATCATGTACTGAAGCCGGAGAGAGTCTAAAGGTTAAGGCTAAGCCGGGCAGTGCTTTGAAATATTATAGTTGTTTTCTTATATTTTCACTGGGGGTCACGAAGTGATGCCCTCCAGTTGACGTCATGGAAGCACAACAAGCGACGCGGCAGCTACAGCCACTGGGGCCTACTCATAATTTCAGTCATTACGCGCCCGCTTTCTCTGCGGAAGTGGGTACTTGTCTAAGTACGCTAATTGTTCCACATGCCACGACCTTCGTGGTGTTTCACAATAGCGGTTAGAATAATAGCAGTGCTACGATATGAACAAGGTCCTGTATTGAAGCTACCAACTATTCATCGCTTTAAGCTTTAAGAAAATGGTTGTAAGCAGTAAAAAATAAATGATTTTAAATGATTTTAAGAAGTATCTTAGTAAAATCCCTGATTATGTGATGATTTGCAGTTAAAGGTCCCTACTTTCAATGCAATTATTTATCTTAAAGAAATTCCTACAGCTTGTAAATCGTGGGATAAGAGGCCAATCATTATTTTAAATCCCTAGAGATAATTTAAAGTTCCTATCTTCGGCTGCTAGTCTATTGAACGCGACTGTAGCTGCATGGTCGTTTGGTCATGGTCTGGTCGTTTGTGAATTGATAGGCTTTGTGGCAAAAGGATACGAAGAAGAGCATCACTTGGTGGTGCTTGACGGCTCCGGCGAGTCCCAGCATGGATATGCATATGAGGATGACACCGCAGGCCAGGATCCCACCCACAATCGGCAGGTTGGTCACGATGGAGGCGGCACGCGCGTACACGCCCACTCCAATCAGCAGGAATCCAATCATCTGGGGGTCGCACACACACAGAGCAGAAAAGAAAGAAAGATAGGAGGCAAATGAAAAAGGACTCAAGGATTCTCGTCTTGACGGCAGCAACAACAAATGGCCGAAAGGTATGTATACACACACACATACACACATGCAGATTGCACCTGCCACCGCAGAGGAAAATCAATACATATTTACGAAAATGATTCGATAATGATAATTTAGTTATTCATTTGCCATTGTAGTTATTGTTGTTGTTCTTCATTGTTCCTCTTCCGTATTCGTTGTTGCTGCTTTTGATTTGCACAACTGTTGTTGTTTTTTTTATTTTGTTGTTTGTGTTTGCTTACCACATACAAAATGTTGAGCGCAATTAGCGCGTTTTTCGAGCAGGTGAAACCGCCGCACATGATTTTTGTTTGTTTATTCTTACTGGCTGCAGAAGATACTGTTTAAAAACGAATTTAGCTAATTGAATTTATTCCGTCTACAGAAGTTTTCACTTTCAATATAGATATCGATATCAATACGATGTCCATCCACTAAACCGATTGTTTTTTTGCAGTGCTATCGAAATATAGGCATTGGACTTTAAACATTTAAATATGCCCAAAAAGACACAATATTTAAAATATTTTTTGATTAATTAATTGAAATTTCAATTATTAACTAAAGAATAATATAACCAGCAAATGTGTTGGACAAACTGCTGTAGTAACGCATATATGAGTCTTATCGATAAGATTTCCATTTACTCTGCTTTATCTGACTATGGCGGTTTTTTCAAATAGCAGTTTAAACTATTGCCCACAAATCGCCACAAACTGTCACGCCCACACTTTTGAACAATTTTTTTTAATTTCTTAATTTTATTTACAATTTTTAACGATATTCCAGAAAATTGTGAAATTTCTTTTTCGCACTTCCACTAGCTGAGTAACGGGTATCTGATAGTCGGGTAACTCGACTATATCATTCCATCTTTATTCCATCTTTATTTTACGATTTATTTTGAGCGTTCAAGCAAACCATATTATTTTAGAGAAAACCTTAGGGTCAAGTCACTTTGAATGAGAATCAGGAGGCTACCAGTGACTGACGAGAAAACCTTATTGACCAGCGAGGTGTTCAGCTCCAAGAGGCCCAGTGGCATTAGCTTATAGTCGATGGTGACGACCTTGAGCCAGAAGGCATTCACCACTTGCTTGAAACGCGCATCGGCGTGCTGCAGATCGAATCTCTGCAAGAGTTCTCCAGTTCTTCTGGTCTGCAACTAGAAGATCTATGTATTTTTTTCAGAATTTTCAAGAAAATTACAATCACCTCCATGAGAGTTTGGTTACTTATCCGAGCCACCATGACGAGTTCCAAGAAGGGCACAGCCAGAAAAACCAGCAAAACAATGGCCTGGAAGAGATCGAAAGGCTCCTCGTTGATGTAGTGATCCGCAATGGCCAAATACTGGTTGTAGCATCCCATGGTGATGCCTAGAAGGTTCATTAGCAGCGATAGCACCATGGACCAGTCCGTGAATCGAAGGAATCTCTTTGAGCATTCGGCAGTGACGGCGTATTTCTCGGCCAACTCATCCAAAAGATCGGCTAGCTCGCAGAAGCGACGCATACGGTAATAGGGCTTATGGAGATTCATCTGGCTGGGTGACTGCAGCACATTGGCCTCCTTAACAGTACCGTGCAACTTTCGATTTAGCGCAGCAACTACCAAATTTGCAATTACCAGGCCGCCGAAGAAGCAGTTATTTATCTGGTTCGATACAATCAGCGGCAACATGGTCTTCGCCGTCCTTAAACTCGTCCAGTGATATTCCGGATGCAACCGCCTTTGATATAGAATCAGGGTTATATAGGCGATAAGGGGACAGAACAACATCTTGAGTAAGCTGTACATAAATGCCCGCCACACAATTATTGCCGAAATGTCCAGTGAATCAAGGACCTTAAAAAGAGGAATACTGTTCTGGAATCGAATTAATTTCAATGATTTTTCCCACTGTGTCACATAATTAAACAGGCAAATGCCGACGTTCATATAGCAATATATTCCAATAGTGTCTCGAAGATTGATCTGGCTGGTGGAAATTTCGTGGTAAATATTCCAGATGTAGAACAGTGCAAATAACGTGGCCACACATAACCCATAAATAGCAACCCCTTTGGAAAACACAAACTTTTTGCGCCTGAAGGAAAAGCGCCCGATATAAACGCCGTAAAGTATGTTGAGGAAAATGTTCCCGAAAGCACAAATCATCACCAGTTGGGAATGGAGTTTTCCTCGCCGAAAGGTTGCGGGAAATCGACGTGTCAGCCTTTTCAGGAATCGCATTGTACTGAGGATGAATTCGAGCTAGCCACTTTGGCTAAATTGCCGCTTAATTACCAAGCTTCTTATCTGCGATTAAATAATATATGTAGTTGTTAAATGAATCACAGGTGGAAGTATTATGCTAGCCGCGGTCAAGCGAGTTCCAATCAATTATATTGTATTATATTATATGCATTAAATACAATTGTTAGATTTTTTATAATCAACCTTGAATCTAAGAATAATTTTAATGAATATAGCTAATAATGTTCTTAAAATATAAATATCTAAGAGAATATTATTGTGAATCTCGATTAAAGCATGTTTTCTTCGCTGTAATATAACAATTTGATAATTCGGACTATTTGAAATTAACGAACATTTCCCTGCTGACCGGTTCACAGTTCACTGCTAACTAGTTCCGCGCAGTCGAACTGAACCTGCCAGCACTGCCGCGAGCCGGAACCACAGCCAGTGAACGGAACCTGAACAGAATTGGAGACGCGACGCAAATGGAAAAGAAAACATAAACGCTGAAAGCTGGAAAAATGCGCTGTAAATCGCCAGCCGTTGGACTGCAAGTGCAAAAGCGCGTTGCCGAGTGTGCCCGTGAATAATTCGCAATGAAATAAGTTTGGGAAATTGCGAAAAACAGCAGCGCAAAGCTACGGAACCCACACACACCTCCCCGCACCAGCCCCCGCGCACCTAGCGGGCGTTGCTAAATAATTTCTCCGGGGCGCTCCGCTGGACAAAAAGTGATTTTTTTCGGTGGGTTTTTTTTGGCTGGCGTGCGCGTATAAATAAATAGCTAAAAGAGCCAGAGAAAATACAAGGCAGAGAAAATAAATCGGAGAAAAATCAGTACAAATCAGCGAATAGAAAGTGTATACCGCCTGCACTTGTGCCTGTATGTGCGTGAGTGTGTGTGCGAGTGTGAGTGCCAATGAGCCAGTGTGTGTGATGTGTGTTTGTGTGCGAGGCAGAGAACACAAGGTGCAAAATGTTTACAAAAAAATCGCATGCCGACGTGAAGAAATCCACGGCCAAGTTGCAGGACTCCAAGAAGGATTCCGCCTCCCGGTTGCGACACCTCCGCATGATATTGGGTGAGTAGAACCTAACGTACTCCATTCCAGATCCTACCATATGCTAAAACCCACCTAGATCTTACAGTAGAATACTTAGTTTATAGATAACTTTCGGCATATTTTCGAATATGTTTAAAACCCTTTTCGAATGCCGCTATTTTGCAAACACTCACGGTGGATTTGCCCCTTGAAACCAAGGTCTTGCGTTGGCGGTTCTGACTGTTAATTATTTCATAATTTATTTGCATTCATAGCAATAACAATGGAACTGGTTGGCTATATTTTTTATGCATATACTGTTTTTTTTTTTGGCTTGGTGGGCGTCGTTCGCACCATATTCGTTCCACGGTGGCTCGCTCTCAATGACGTTCTGCCCACGGAGCGCCAAACAACAACGAAAAGTGGATTCACAATGCTGGCCATTTCCTGTTGGGCGCAAAAGAACCTCCGCATAGGCGATGTACCCCACATAGACCGCCCATTCTTCCAGTAAAAAAAACATTAATTTATGCAAAAACGGAAAAAAGATTACAGAAAAACATCTACACATGCTCCGCTATGTGGCAAGCGAAAATGTGTGAAACACGTTAAATGATAAAGAAGCGAACAAGTGGAGCTACAGTCTGGGTTCCCTAAGTCGGACTTGTCCAACCCTCAGTTTTCTTTATTCCAACTATTTTCTGTGATAATTTGTTTATTTTCTGCTTTTTTATTTCACATTGAAAATTGTGACTAAACAGCTTATTAATTTCTATATTTAAATATGTTTAGTCATTTAAATATGTTTTTATATTGAGTATTTATTACACCCTTCAGTAGTCAAAACAACAGGCACAGAATTCGTTAAATTATTTAAATTAAAGTATTATTATTATTTAAGATGTCACATATATTTATTTTAAGCATACTCATTTTTCATTGCTCTCTTTTCTTTTATTGATTGCAAATTATTACGCCTTACAGAATTTGGCCTGTATTAGCCAGCAATGTACAGCAAGTACGGGTTTCCACCTTCGCCACCCTTTCTCAGTGGCTTTCTTTTTGTGTCACCTCAGCGAGCGATTTCCAACAGGTGCCCCCCGCTACAATAAACCTCAAATACACCTGGCTGCCACCCTCCGGCACACTATTGTTGTTATTTCAAATTGTTGTTGCTTCTCTGCCATTGTCCCTTGGCAAATTACACGCATTAGACATTCTTCCCAATGGCTGGGTTTCCAATTGTTGTTTTTTAAGCAGTACAATAGCAAAATAACACCGAAAAAAGCTGTCCATGTTCTGGAAAAAAGTTTTCAAAAATAATACCATGATTTAGTTATATAATATAATTAAATCACTTTTAGGAGCAGTTCATAAATATTTCTTAGTGAAGACCTAAATTATTTTAAACGACTATCCTTACTCTATGGTATTATATATTAATGCATCTCATTTAATATTTGTTGTACTATTCATTAGTAAATATACTATGTAATATATTAATGTAAAATATTATACTGAAACTTCAGTTCTCTCAAATCGCCATAGACATTTCTCTGGTTTTGTTTTCTGTGCAATGATAGTCATCTTCGCTCTGTGCGTTTTGGCCTTCTGCTGAAACCGGTTTCAAAGGTTTCTTACTCTGTTTTACCTCTTTGTTTAGCTTTCTTTTGCTTAGCCGTGTGTTTTGCTGATGAGAGCAAGCCGGCAATGGCAGTGAACCGCACCCCCCAACCACCACCCTCTTCCGCCTATCAAGACCCCCACTTCTCTGATTCATCACAAATCGCTGAGCACCCATCATAACGTGTTCTCTTCGTAACTCGACTTTTAATAGCTTTCTGGCCTCCAATCAACTTGTTGTTATGGGACATATTGTCATGCGTGGCTTTCTATATGGATAAGTTGGGAAATCATTGCCTGTCGGGATAGGATTTGCGGCCTTATCAATAGTGGCATGCACAGGTGCTGGGTTCGATGTTGCGTCACTATCTTGGTTGTTGCCCCCTGGCGCCATTTTCTTATCACTGGTTCACAGAGAAAAACTAAGTCTACATTTTGGTAATATTTCGGTTTAATTAGTTTCTTATCTATGTAATGAAGGCCTTTCAAGTTAATTACATTCGAATATCAGGTGTATTTCAAAGAGAGTAGAATTTGTATACAAAATCCATTTCGTCGATAGCTCTTCTCTCCAGAATAATACAAGTAACAATTTTACCCCAATATGCACCTCATATCTCAATTGCTGACCCATTTATATGTATTTCAGATAATGTGGAGCTAGAAGAATCGAAGTCACTGTTCGAGACCAACTACAGTCATGTCTACTTCATACTCTACGACACCTTCATTCAAGCCGAGGCGAATCTGAAGCAAAAAGGTAAATTAAGTTATTCTGCGATTACCCCAGATGTGAATATTGTGGGCCCAAGCTGGGTTTTATCTAGCAAAGGTGTTTTTCTCAGCTTATTTATTTGCTATTTAAAGAGGTTACAATAGCATAGAAAAAAGATCTCAGATCAATGCCAAAATGTGTTATTTTATGTGTATTGTTTCTGTCGTAATTTTTTCCTTATTGTAAGTACTTAAGAAATTCGTTCAAAAAAGAGTATCCGTAATTCGTTGACTCGTAGAATACCTTCTTGTTTTTTGACCCATTTAATTTTGGTTAATTTGCGCGTAGCTTTCGGGGACATTTTAAGCTCCACCAATTAAACAAAACCAACAGCGACGACATTAAATCAGTGCCTTGTTTGGATTTCGGTAATCTTTATGCTTTGTCCCATTTTTGTAGAGCTAGTTATAAAAAAAAAAAACAAACGTGATATTCTAAATTGAACTCCTCATCTATTTCTATTTTACCGCCTTTTCTCTCTCTATTTTTGTAAATCCCCTAACTGGCAGAACTTCCGTTTCACATTGGTAAGTTTATGTGGTTTCTTATTGACATGAATTGACCATCGAACTGCATCCCCTTCCTCCCTGCGACTTTGCTTTTGAACTCTGTTTACCATAACCTCATGTGTCCACGTCCCATGGTCTTTCTTCTTGCGCTTGAAATCTCAGAATCGAATACGAATTGCACCATATGCACATCTCTGTCTCTCCGCATCTTGTGCTTGTCCAGACATTTCGATTGCATCCCAACAGCAAGCAGGAATCTCTAATTGGCTAATGGAATCTTTTTCACCTATGAAGCTCTTTTAATTTTTTAAAACAGTGCACAAGGCGCATCGCGAGGAACTGGACGGTTCACTATGGCTGCTGGAGAAGATCCTGTGCCTGCTGCCAGAACTATTGGCCCGCCGGTGGCAATGTCATTCCCTAAGTCGCATCATGGCCAAGCTACTGCATCTGGGCAACTCGCCCAAGCTGCGACGCGAAGGTGTCAGGTTGGTCAATCCCTTAACAACAATTTGAAGCGCCCTCTAACCCCATTATCCTTTCTCAGATACTTCTTACTGTGGTATCAGACACTAGGCGAAAATGCACCAGGCTACGTGCACGCCATGTACGCGGACCTCATCCCTGGCCTTATTGTGCCCCAGAAGGGTGTGGTCGGTCCGGATACAGAGTTCAGTGCCTCGGACTTTCTCACTCATCCCAACATGAAGGCGGACGGCGGGATGGCCTCAGTTTTTCACGACAACGCATTCTCGCATCCCGTGCAAAGTTCGGAGGTCGTTGCCCTGTTGCCACCTTCGTCCAGCGAAAAGTCAGCGCCACCGGATCCTCGGGATGGCCTAGAGGTTCTGCTAAACAGCATGGTGCACACGGCGGCCTGCCTGAGATGGCGGGATAATCGGGCCCAAAAGGATCACCGGGCATTCGCCTTCCTGCTACAGCGATTCATGGATGTTTTCCTGCCAGTATTTTCGCCCAACTTCGATGTCAGTTGCTCCATTTACAATCCCCGCTTGGACTTGCCCGTCATGCGATCCATAAACAAAAAGGA